ATTGAAATGACATGACCATGTCTTTCTAAAAGAAGTATGGGTTACTACTTGCCATCACATCACCAGTACACAGTACAGGCAAGTGGAAAACTAAATGGTTTACCTGAAAAACCATCAAACCTCTAATTAGACAAGGCTTTTCTACCTTGGAGATGGAGAACTGCCATCATGCTACATTTTCCAGACTCAAGGTCACATCTGGACACCTTCACTTTTCACCATAACAACTCTACCAGACAGCATTAACAAAACTCAGCCAGGTCCTGACTTTACTTAGATATCTGACCATAGCAGTACACTAAATAGCTCTATCTTTGCACCAGATGTATCAGAAGAAGAATCCTCACACCTCCCTACTACATTTTATCACTATTCTATTAAAAAATAACAGTGACAGATAAAAAGATCAAAAAATGGGCAAGCTCTGCTCAGAACAAAAAGAAACACATCATTTTGCCATTTATACACAGATAGAGCAAGGCACCTCACTCAACGGTGAGAGCATGTAGGTAGTTCTAGACTGCATGTATACCAAAATACAGACCAACAATTCTCTGTGATTGCTGAGGCAACCTGCAGTAAAAAACAACTGAAAAAAAAAATCTCAACTTCCACATCTCAGGCTCATAAAGCTAGTGCACAACAGCACACAGAAATACAGCACCATAAGGTTAAATGAGCAATAAAACCCAAAAAATCAAGATGGCAATTTCATCCTGAAGGTCTATCCCCTAGTCTAGGGCAGCCAGCGCTCCCAAACCCCCCTCCCCTGTCTTTCACACTCAAAGAAAGTAAAATTAAAGCAAGGGACCTTACCCTTCCTTCTTGTGTGAAAACACACAAAAGAAGCACTAGAATGAAAGCTATCTGTATTGTTTTCTTATTTTAAGTGCCTAAAATATAATAGTAGGCACTGAGAAGGGGCTATATTCCTCATGGTTGTCAGGCAACACCTCAATCAGTTAGGCCCATGGAAGATCTCTCTAAAAGTAATTATTTAGAATTCCTTGCTTTTAATCTCCTGCACAAGACTCATACAAGTATTAAACCTTCCAAACTGGAATTTGAGTTCTCAAATGACATCCACGAGAAGCACAAGCACACATATGCCATACAACAATGTTCTCTCATTAGCATGAAGTTTCTTAGAACGTGGCATGCAAAACATCATTGCAAAAATCAGGAACACACAGCATTGAAAAAAACCCAAACAAAACCCATTTTTATATTCGAGCACAGGCACCACATACACATTTTGGAAAGATGGCGGAGCCATAAACCAACACCACAGAAGGCTTCATACATCTGCTCCTTATTGCTCTTCAGTGCAACCTTTCATAACCTTCATCTTACATGCATTGCACCTGTGTGCCCTCCTGTGACTGCCCAGCACACCTGGGCACTCCATGGCTCCTGACCTTCAGCACTGCTCACCTGTCCTGCACAGCTGCACCCACTGAGGATCGGCCACAGCCCCACTCCCAACCACCAAGAGCAGTGTGCCCACAACATACACAGACTACAGTTATTTTGCAACCAAGCAAACTGAACCTTCATAAACAGAACTGGCAGATGGTAATTAAGAGTTACATAAGCACTCACCTAAATTATACAAACAGTCACCTACAGTAAAAGTATCAAGCAATTATCCTTGGTCATGTCATCCCAACCCTCTCTGAGTTCGTCCCCATCTGTCCCATCCCCTCAGCAAGTTCTGATCTGGTGCTGTCACCAGGCTTTTCTGAGCAACTTGCCCATCTCCCAGTAATCTCTTCACTGAGCTGGCCGTAGCTGGGACAGCTTTATTCAAATTCCACCTCTCAAAGTTCACCAATGACTCAAAAGCAGTGACCAGATGCTCCATCTTTTTGAGCTGCTCAGTCTGATAGAACTACCCTCAAGAGACATCATATAACCCCCCCCCCCCCATTATCAAACTAGCCCCTCTCTCCCTGCTTTCAAACCACCACAGTAAGCAAGAAACAGCAGGGGATCAGTCAAGAGCTGAATAAGCAGAAACAAGGAATGTGAAGGGTATTCTGTACATACATGCCTTTAAGGCTCTACAGAAACCCATGCCTGACCATTAATGACAGCACCTGAGAAGTTAGGCTAAATGAGATTAGACTAAATACAAAGAAATTAAGATTTCAGGAAAACAGAAATGGTAAAAATTTAAACCGGGTTCCTTCCATAATTCTCAACAGCCTTGGAACTCATTCACTGCCAACTTTAATTGCGAGCAACCTTTCTTCAGCTGTTCTGTCACGGCCAAAGCAAAAATCTGGGCATACCCTTGCTTTACTATCACAGAACATCACCTGTAACACTCTTTCAGCCATCCCTGTGCTACAGGCTCTCTGCTGCCATGGCTATAATCAAAAACTACCCCAGTACCAATGCTGAGGGGCTTTCCTGACACCATTAGAGTGTCTGACATAGAGCACAGAGAAGTTTTCTTCACTTCACATGGTGCTTAGCCATGAGACAAACATGTCACATAGGAGTGTGATTTTATTTTTGTGTCCTCATCTTCCACACTAACCAACTGAGCATCTCTGGCAAAACCACTGTCCACTTTCAAGCAGGTCAGAAGTGAGTTTTTATTGCCTCCAAAACTGTCTTCTACATACCCTAAATTTCTAGTGTTCTCACTACAAGAGAGACTGGTTAAGCTCAGAAGTACCAAGAAGTCATCAATTCTTTTTCCTTCTGTAAATAAGGAAGCAGGAACTACACACAAACAGGGATCAAGAGCATCCTCCACTGCCACAACACCAGACAGATTCTTCTCAAGTTCAAGAAAGGTTCTTCTCAAGTTTAAAGAGCATAAAATCAAAGCTACAAAAACTCATTCCACAGCATATTTAAATGTGTGCAGGCCTCCTCTCACTTTTGCCGTATGTGTCACCTTGGCTGTGAAATTTACCCGCACAGAGTAAGGAGAAACTTCCAATTGGCTGTGTGCAATTCACCTGCACACTGAGGAGAAGCTTACACACTGAAACTCTTTTCGCACTTTAATCTCTAACAGGTGTTGGCTATGGCAACTTGTGCCCCTTAGACAACTTATGTCACGTTGCAGACACTCGGGGATGTACCGATCCATTTTAGAAAACAGCCAGACAATGCAGGAGCCATAAAATCTTATGCTTAAATGCAGCTTTTACCAGAGAGACTCCAAGCACTTTATTAATTTGGGTAAGTTCTCTGTTTTATCTGTGAAGAGAAGACTGTTAAGCAGTAATTCCAAGGGCTCATGATGACAGCGTCGAATTCCCACCCCCGAACACTCAGAAACCACCATTTCCTCCACAGGAAAAACACCACAAAGTGAGGTCCCACTTAACACCTTATCAGCACAAAAAAAAAGGAACAAAATATTTAAGCACAGATAACAAATGAAACCCGATGCAACTTCTACTATTCATCAAGTAGTACAGAAGAAAAAAGGCCCAGTAATCTTTCTCCACCCAGCCTGAACAATTAAAACAAACAATCCAAATATGTAGGAGAAATTGGAAACCTCTTCAGTAAATTAAACATCCAGTAACTATTAATCAGACTCCCTCTGCATATTAAGTGTAGGCAAACAAAGACAAAGAAAAAAAGTGCAATTTTCTTAGGCATACACCACTGCTGTATTCTGACAAAACGGCAATTCAGTACCGATCTGAAACGATGCACCATCGTTTGCCTAGTGTGCTGTAATGTATGTTGTAAACACGGCAAAGCTTTAGTAAAACAAGACTTGACCACTGGCCCACACTAGACCTCGCTCCACCCTGTGAAATCTGCGCTGAGAAGTAGGGCAAGACTGACAGGTTTTATTGTGAAACTTAACAGGTTTGTGGATTAGCAAAGCTACCGTATTGAAAGCTGCAAATCCCTCCTCGGTCATGTCTCTACAGAACCGTGCTCATTCCTCAATTAAAATTTTATTATTAAAGTTACCAAAACGCCACACAAGACCTACCAGCTTCTGCCTGCTTTACAACATTATCATAGAAAACAGGACAAAATGTTTTAAGAGTTTACGTTTTTCTTCATCCACGAGCAAAACTCGACAAACCTTCGACGTTTGGCTACACTAGTTTTATTCAACGTTCCCCTGTGCTTTACCATAGTGAAGATTTTGTAAAAGCGAAGGCACCGTATTTAACCAGGGTTACGCGTTCTTCGGAGCGAAAATGCCGTAACTTTCGTGAGGAAACTGGCTAGCAATGGCAACCGGCTTCTAGAGAAGAGCCAGGAGGAAGGCGATTCAGGGCGAGGGCGCACGCTGAGACACACGCGCGAGGGCAGCAGCTCCCCCAGGCTCGGGACGGCACCGGCATCGACTCGGCCCCACCGAGGGTCCGAGCGGCTTCCTGCCAGCCCGTAACCCCCCGGGCCGGTCCCTTCGGGGTGGGCCGGCTCCCGTCCGCCGCCCGGAGCCCCGGGCGCGGCGCCGGGCCCTGCCGAGCTCACCTGCCCCGGCGGCGCCGGGCCCTGCGCTCGGCCCGAGGCCGCACCGCGGGCTCGGCCCGCGAGAGGCGCGCCGCCACAACCGGACGCAGCTGTCGGGGTACGGCCGCCGGTCCCTCCCCGCCGCGGCTACCTGCCCGCCCGGCCCCGGCCCACGCCCCGACTCACAGTGCGTGCGTGAAGGCGCTGAGTCCCGGCGGCACGGCCGCGAGCCCCCGCCCGGAGCAGTCCACGCCGCGGTCGCCGTCGCAGCTGCAAGGGGCCGGGCAGGGCGGGGGGGACGCTCCGCCGCTGTGTCCGGCCCAGCTCCCCAGGCCCCAGGCGAGGAGGCCAAGCAGAGCGAGGCGCCGCATCGCCGACCCCGCCGGCCGCCCAGCCCCCCGGCCCGGCCTGCGGCTCTGCGCTGGCGCCCTCCGCCTGCCGAGCCTGGCCGCCTGCCGGGAAAACGTATAAAAACCCAAGAGAAACAACAACGACCAAAAAAAAAATCAAAATAAAGGGGCGCCTCCGCCCGGCACGGCTACGGGGGTGCCTCAGAGGGAAGCCAGCCCTCCGCCGCCCGCCTGCCCCGTGCAGAGCCTGCAGCGCTGCTGGCCACCACTCATGTCAGCCGCGCAGGCAGCGCTCGGGGGAGGCCGTGGCGGTGCCGGAGGCGCTGCCGGTGCCGGGCCGTGCCCCGGTGCTCGGCGGCCGCGGCTCCGCTGGCGCTGCCGCCCCTCCGCAGCTCGCTCCCGCGACCACGGCGGCTCCGCGCCCAGGGCAGAGGTGCGTATGCTAATGACAGCCGCACCCACGCTCCCATTGGAGCGGAGCTGGCGCGGGGCGGGGATTATGCAAAACACGGCCGGGCCGCAACCAACGGGCGCAAGGGGCGAGGCCGGAGCGGCGGTCCCGCCCTCCCTCCCTGCGGCCGCCGCCGCCGGGCCGGGACCCCGGGCCCCGTCCGGGCCGCGGAAAGCCGAGCGAGCCGGCCGGGGGCGCGGGCAGGCCGGCCGGGGGCGCGGGCAGGCCGGCCGGGAGCGCGGGCAGGCCGGCCGGGGGCGCGGGCAGGCCGGCCGGGGGCGCGGGCAGGCCGGCCGGGGGCGCGGGCAGGCCGGGGGCGCGGGCAGGCCGGCCGGGGGCGCGGGCAGGCCGGCCGGGGGCGCGGGCAGCGCCGCGGCCCCGGCCTCGGGGCGCCATTGCCAGCCGCGGCAGGAGCGGGCGAGCGCCTCGGCCCGCAGCCCCAGGCAGGCCCAAACAATGCACGGCAGGAGATCAAGCCGCCCCGTTCGGGGCCCGGGACTGGCGGATTCCGGCCGGCGTGGCCTACCCAGCCCCTGGGGCACGGGGGGGGCCATGCCGTCCTCCTGGCCCAGGGACACAAAACCACTTCTCACCCCTGTTCCCAAAGCTGCAGTGACTGCAGCACAAGGCTCTCCTCGAAACCGGTTTGCTTTGAAAGAACGCTTTCCTTCCCACACAAAACGCTGCCGTGGTAGCTGGCTGTTACACAACTCGCACATCGCAGCCAAACCTGGGCCGGTCTGGGTCCTTTTCTCCTAACTACCTTAAAAAGAGCACAAAACAAAAGGGAAACCTTGTCTATCCTTGTTGTTAGTGCCCGCCGTCATCCGACTTGTTTTTTAATGCTTTCTTTTGGATGCTTCTACCCTGCAGGACAACCAGGAATAAGCCTGCTACATGAGCTTTGCTCACTCGTGCACCACACAATCACCACGAATCACTGGTTTTCTCCCAGATTTACCCTAAACCAGGACAAGAGGTCACAGCAGCCCTTGGGTAACCAACTGGCACCTCTCACTGCTGGCCCAAACCCCAAAAGAGGCTTTGAGCCAACAGCCCTGGCTGAAGAAAACCCAGCAGAGTCATGGGCTCCTGTGCTGGTGCCCAGCCACACCACCTATTTTCCATGTTGGGTTGGATGCTCTGAGCCTGCCCAGGAGCTGCCAGCCCAGCTGCACTGCCAGCTAGGCAGATGTCTGTGCAGCCCAGCCTGAAGCCCACAGAGCCTATGCCAGAGCAGAGCAGGTAGGCAGGGACCCTGAGGAGAGAAGACAGGACTCTGCAGATTCAATGTGAATCAAGAAAAAAACATTTATTGTGCTTCTAAACGTTATGTTTACTTCTTACCTTGGTCTACACAGCCACACATTGATTTGTTGCTCCGCTTTGTCCATGCATCTCTGGATTGGTAGCTCTGCTTTGTCCACAAGGCAAGCATGCATCTTTTTATTAATCTAACTGGTGGATGCTGTGTCATTTTACTCATGCTGACACCCCTGTGTCTGTCAGCAACTTTTCTGCTTCTTTCTTCTCACAACATCAGCTTTTTATCCCCAAAGGTGACCTCATTCTTTAGTTCCAGAAGTTCAGCTGGTTCATTCAGTCCATATCCATTTTCCTGTAGCTACGAACCCACAACAGCCTTCTGTCCATTCTGCAGGTCATTGACAGAACCACAGACAGGGGTCAGTGGCTGACAGCCTGCCTCTACCACAGCAGAGATGGGATGAACCACACCACCCTGTACACACAGAGCTCTGCCACCTTCCCTAAAGCCAGGAGAGGGTCAACAGTGGTAACTGAACCCTTAATCCAAAGGAAAAGCAACTGTCCAAGGGTGTCACATGGCCTGGTGGCAGCTACCTCAAGTTCCTGCAATTGCATATGAAAAATCCTAAGTACCTGCAAGCATGTAAGGCAGAGAGGTGAGGGATGAGGCAGGCCTCATCATACAGGGACCAGTGTCCATAGCACTGTGGCCTGGCATAGCTGCTCTGATCACATGCTGCTCAGCCAGGAGTGGAAGAGCTCATCCCTTAGAGTTTACCTTCCAAGGGCTGCCTGTGACACCACTGACATCCCAGGATACACCCATGCAGGGCTGGGATCTGTGCTAATCACACCTTTCTTCAGCTGAATGGAGGGAAAAAAATAGAATAGAAAAAAATAGTCTTTGCTTAAAAAATGGTCTCTTTATGAAAATTAAAAATCAGGCATGTCAGTGGTGGGGACGTGAAGATTTAAAATATTTGTGCCCAAGAAAGTAGAGTGCACACTGAGGACCATAGAAATACAGATCCTTCAGCCACCACCACCTCCATCTCCTACATTTCTCCTCATCATTTTTCAACTCTTAACTCCCCTTCTCAAAGTGTTAACATTTTATCTAGTTGCAAAAATTGTTACTTTCTTGCATTTAGGAATCCTATTCCTGATGCACTGATTTTATATCAACATCATCACTTACTTGTGAAAAAGGTCCTTTTAATAACAGGCTATGTGCTTGTCCTGTACCTTGTGAGAAATATGAAGTCCTCAAAGTGGAAGCTACCAGTGCATAAAAGTACCAAAATTTGCTGTAAAAGTGCAGACACTCAAGGTTATCTTTTGTCCTTCTCTGCCTCATGTTGGCAGAGAAATGCTGTTGTCAGAGCCATGTTGTTCTAAGAAATGTCAGGGCCAAAGCCAGGATGTCACTTTCCGTGCCTGTGCTCAGGGATAGCAGTGGAGGAGCAGCAACCAGAGTAGAAGGGGAAAAAATTCAAAGGATTTCTCTCAACTTACTTCAACAAAACAAATCCAAACCAATAAGAAAAAGTGACCTTTTTCTTCCACTACTGGCAAAGAAAAATAACAAAGCACTTATATTCACTCTGCAAATAGTCTCACTTCACTAACCAAAGATAATGGGAGCAGAAATGGCCCTCAGTGCCTGCTTGGATTTTGGAAGACAAATAGTAGCATGGAGATTACTTTGTACAGCAGCAGTGGTACCCTATAATGACCCCAGAAGTTCTCTGGACAAAAGGGCCCGAGTAAAAGCAGAATAGCAGAGCTTTTTTATTTTTTTTGCATGCTTTGAAGCACTGGAATAGTCTAGCTTTTCCTCTCAATCCTTGCCCGATTCAAATCTTTCTGTTTCTTTTACCAGCATCACTTCAGATTTTTCCTTAGCACAGCTTTCTGAAGTCCCCCTTTGAAACTCCAGTCCTAGGAGCAATCCACTTCCCCTTTTTATCCAGTCAATACTGCTTTGCTGCTTCCAGGTAGTCTGGAACTCGTCCTGGAAAGTTAATACTTAGTTTTTCAACCTCTGCTCTCCCTTGCTGGTGCTGATGGATCACTGCTCTCTCCTCTCCATCAACAACTCCCATTTCTCTCCCTTTCTGCTTAGGCAAACACCTGCTTGCAGGCATTTATTGATTTTTATTTTTCTTTAAAAAAAAAAAAAAAAAAAACCCTAACATTTTCTGTGAAGCTGGCTTACTTCTTAATTAAGATCTACATGCTAAGATGTTTTTAAGCTGAAAAAAAATGGTCATTTTTAGTTAAATTATCTATTTAACTAAAAATTATACCATGGATTTTGAAATGACCATAGCTTAAAAATCTAGTCTGAAGCAATCCTTAATATTACGAATTCCAAGAAGCATCCCCCAAAAGGCAGCAAAAGGCAGCAATTAGCTTATTTAATAATAATAGAAAAAAAACTGCAAAAGAGAGAAAAATCCTGAGGTGCACTTTCAACCAGGTAAAAAATATGAGGGTCAAACTATCAAGTCAATAAAAAAAGCAGATAAAACTAGCTCATTTTGGTTGAGCTGTGGAGAAACTATTCTCTGCTCTTCATCAGGGAAAACGGGAAGCACCATAAACTGATCTATTACTGCATAAGAACTTCAGGATTTAGTGCATTTTACACGGTTTTGAAACTTCTGTCAGACATTGAGAGACATAGGAGGAAAACACAAAAGTACAGACATGGAATTTTTTCTTCTACTGCCACAAAACTGTCCAGCAACGTATCTACTTCTGACAAAAACCCCACTTCAGAGACACAAATCCATTTGGATTTAATGGGAGTCTGATGTGGAAAAGCAAGCAGATTAAGACCTGAAACATGGACACAAAAAGAAATACAAAGTGAAGGCAGACTGGAACATCAGAATTCCTTGATGCTAGAGCTGTGCCATGAGAGGACAGCATGTGAATGGAAATGTAAAGATAATAGCTGTGATAAAAAACTTTGTTTTCTTTTAAGGATTTATTAGACTTTACAGAATAAAAAAGAATTTTCATGGAGGCTTTCTTTTATAAATTGGGATAAAAATACAGTCAGTGTGTTAGTCCTGCAAGGTGAGCTGTTTCTCCCCTGGTTTCCATCATCCAAATTTTCCTCCATCAGAAATGCTGATGTGGCAGGATGTGCCCCAAGGGCTGTTCCCCTTCCAAAGGATTGCCCAGACTCAGTTTAGTACAGAGATGTAGACACAGAAATGTATGCAGTTTAGAGCACCTTTAAATTTTATCTGTATCTAGTGATAAAAATAAGCTTTACACTCCAATGGGCTCAAAATGGATTCATCCAAAAGAAGCATCATGTGCAAAAGGTGCTGCTGCTGTTATTGAGCCCCACGCTGATGGGAAATTCAATTACCACTTGGATTCTACCTGCATGGTGTGCTGGGTTTGGATGGGGTTAAACCATGACACCAGGAAATTAAAGTTATCCTGGAGAACATGACACAGAGCTGCTGTGCGTGGAGAAAGAACAGTCTGGAATATCTGCAGTGACAAAGAAAGCTCTCTCTAAAATGGAAGCATCCTTCTTCCCACAAAAAGGCTGAAACTTACTCGGGTGAAGTAGAACTGAAAGTCACTTCAGGAAACAAGTGGCAAAAGAAAGGCCCAGCCAATTCCAAAGCTTTGTTAAGAAAACAAAGGTAAAGATACAAACCTTGGTAGCACAAATACAGAAACAATTTAAAGCTTCAGAAAAATTGTCAGAAAAAAATTATTTTGGTAGGGTCAAAAGTTTGCCCAGAAAATTTGTTTCCCAGTATCTACTTTATGCCTCTGTAAAACAAGAGAAACTAATGAGGACAAGCAAGACCACTAAAATCCACAGTTTAGAAACAGCACATGTAGAGAGAAGGAAAAAATACACAATATTAAATAGAAACAAGAGAAAATTAATTTTAAAATTGCTTATGAATAAATATTACCTTTCTATGTAAACAATGCTTAACTTCCAATGGTAGAGTGTCTCTACCACCCATTCCTGTGTATGCATTACCTAGATGATCCAGAGCAGAATGTATTTGGCAGTTTGGCCTGGTGATTGTATCTTTGTTCGATTATTCCAAAAGATGCCTCTGAAATGCAGTGAGCTGGGCTGCAAGCAGAAATGAGATGTTGTACCACAGCTAAAAGAAAATTACTGCAGGCACTTTATTCCAACACCTTCTGTAAACTGGGTAGAGCAAAGCCAAAGAAAGGACAGCTCAAAAAGTATGCATGTGTTGGATTGTTATTTTTGTTTTTTGTTGCTTTGAGTTTTTTCAGCCTAGATGTGTCATGTCTTCTGCTGTCTAGAGTTAACCCTGGAGTTTCTCCAGTACTATGTGTTCCCCTTGAAAAAAAGAGGAACACCATAATAGCATCATAACTAATTTATTTTATCTTGTCACTCTAACCCAGTCATGAGTTGAAATTAGGTAGCTATACAGGAATTTAAAAGCAATTTAGGACAAAATTGCTGGAAATTAAATGCAGGGTTTAGTCCAATATTCATGTCAGTCTGTATTCTAGCTAGAAAGCTTTTGTAACAAAACAACAGACTTTAATTTGTGTTTTGCAACTTTCAGAGGCATTCCACTGTAATTAGACAGCACAAAGCACTTCAGTCTCACTGTATGCAAGCACAAGGCAGAACGCATCAAGTCCCTGTTTATCAGACACCTTCCCCCGCTTCCCACCCCCAGAGGATCAGCGGGCAGCCTGATCATGGAATGATCTGGGTTGGAAGGAACCTTAAAGCTCAGCCAGTTCCAACCCCCTGCCATGGGCAGGGACACCTGGCACTTCTCTTACCCTGAGGGGTTATCTCTGAGGGGCAGAGGCAACTGGGCTGGAAAAGGGAGTTGTTTTGAGGAACTGGGAAGAAATTATTAGCATGTGTCTGTGCAGACTTATTTTAAACCTTTGGTTACCAATAAAATGCCCAAGTTACTCACCTCTGCCCCCCAAAATCCCAACCACACAATTAAAGCAAACAAAAGTGAGGAGTACAGAGCTTGTTTTACTTTTCATGATTTTGTCACTTGAAACCTGACATGTCTCTAATGCAACAGGAAACAGTAACACATCAAAGCTTCAAGTTATTTCTAACTTAATTTTAAAGGGTGGCTATATAGGGTTTTTTAAATTACTAGAACTAGCAATCAATTTTAGCCTGAGGCCCACCACTGAATCTGATATCCTTTCTTGACATGCCACCTCAGACACTGTCACATCACACAGAGCCCCATCACACCCTTCCAGAAAGCTGCAACCCATACACAGTGACACCTTACCTCCTCAGAAGGCTCCAAGTTCTGCTCCTCTTGTTCTTCAGCCCAACCTTTTATCCCCTCCTGTTGATGCATTCCACCTGTGTGCCTCTGTGCCCTGTGTGCTTGCTCAGCACACCTGGGCACTCTGTGGCTCAGTGCTGCTCACCTGCTTTTCACAGCTGCACCCACTGGGGATGAGGCTCAGCCCCACTCCCAAACACCACACACTGGGTGCCTACAAGACTTTCCAGACTAGGGACAATTCCTCTGTAAAAGTGAACACTGCAGCCCAGACTTACCTCTGAAACAAGCTTCTCACCAGGATTTTAGAAGACAAAGAATCACAGAAACTGCAACTTATCCACCATTTTTTCCTGGAATTCCAGTGTTTACCTACCACCCTTTCCTTGTACCATTTCAATTCCAACTTTGCTTTTTCACTTACTTCACTGTCATAAGACAGGGCATGGTAACTACTTGATTTTGAAATAAAACAGAAAATGTTTTTTTATTTCCAGTTCAAGCGTTATCTATCATCTATATAAAATATTCACATAACATTGCTCCATGTATTTTCAATTCACAGTCCAGCCTACTTAAATTTAGAAAAAAAAAAAAAAACAACAAAAACCCCAACTTGTTTTACATTCGAAATGGAAGCATTTTCCCATGTTCATCTCAGTTCATAACTCCAGAAACATTTTACTGACAACCTTACAAGTTGTCCTTTGAAGGACTTACAGAAATTCAGTATCTCATTACTTAAGATACTTAATTCAAACAATTAAAATATCTGACTCAGAATGAGATACTTGGTTCAAACAACTAAAAGGTACTATCTGACTCAGAATATGCACCTTTAAGTTTATGCAGCTGACTTCTCAAAAATGCAAAAGGTTCAAACTACTTTTTTCAGCACTCTTTTTCTCCAGCAAATCACCAAACGTTAAGTAGAAAAGGAAAGATGCAAAAGCAACCAGGAGACAAACTAAGCACAGATTTCAAGTTTCTCTCTTTGGATACCCACACACACACAGTTGTTTATGTTATGCCCCAGAGACTATAAACAGCCAATTAAAGCAGTCTGGAATCTGGACTCAAAATGGAAAGTCAGAAGAAAAACACACAAACACAATGTGTGTGAGACTGAATCTTTATTTTTCTGTTGCTAAAACCCAAAGATCCTTCACAGCAGCAACAGATGCAGAAGTTACTTGCAGAAATGATAACTCTTCTTATTATGTTTGTATACCCATGTATGAGAAGTGTGTAGGGACTGCAGGTCAACACAGGCACTGCTCAGTAGTAACAGAAATCTGGTTTCTTGGAATATTTTAATTAACCCTTTCCCTATTAATAAAGGGTTCTTGTAGTATCAAAGATGATTATGAATTAGTTGGCTGTTATTGATTTATTTGTTATTGCAATTTAAAAGCATTTTATCAAATTCTACATGTACTATTTATATGCCCAGCTACACCTCTCCACATTTTGCAGTAGCTGACAAACCAGAGCCAAATGCTACAATTCAGAATGAAAATGCTACTGCATTTAGCAGCTTTAGCTGCAGTGAAGTAAATATTTCATTAGAGTAACAAAACACTTTGTTCAGTAATACAAGGAATACGGTTTGTAAAGTGAACATTCCTACCTTGTATCCATATCTTTCTGTAATATATATATTTATATATGGCTCTAAAACATATCTCTACTAATTAGCAATTAAATTAAAACACATCCACAATTGGTCTAACTAGTGATTTTGGTCTCAATACTTTAAACATTAGTTGTTCCATAAAAATATACAATTCAACAACATGGTTGTATCAGTAACATGAAGCTTTTAGAAAGATGCCTATGACATAAAACCAACCATGCAATTCAGTGCTTGATGTCATCTAACTGATAAATATTTATATTGCATTTTCAAATTATCAGTATCTCCCAAACTTCTCTTTGCAGGCTTACCATGCTTACAAACATGCAGAAAGCAAGAAAGCAATCACATTTCTCACTTGCCCATAGCAACCACATTTTTTTTTTTCAAATAGATCAACTGACAAAGTGCAAGCTTCAAACTGCCATTTTTAGATTACTAACCTTTTCCTTTCTTTCACATACTGCTTCTTGTGAAGTAAGACTAGGGATTAGCCACACAGCAAGAACTGCACTTTTCAGTTTAAGCCTCTAAAAAATCAAATTACTAACAGTCAATTAGGATGTACTCCTAGCTGCCATACAAGTGAACTGATACCCAGTAGACAATGAAGTTAATTCTTGAAAAGGTGTAGCTTAAAAAAACCCAAACCAAACCCCTAAATTACACAAGTACACCATCAAACCTGGTAGATTCCAAAAACGGATCTCTGTCCAGAATTTTTCAAAATGTACACAAAACCCGTGCCACCATCAAGAATCCATGAGCTAAGACAGTAATTGTTCACAGATGGAGATGTCCTTATTTAGCAGTCGTGATGTAGTAGAAACAAGAATCCCCCAAGTCAGAAGCAGTCAGTAATAAAACCCCAGACAAGTTCACATGTCACAGTAACCTGGCATACAAGACTCAATAACAATCAGTAATTTAGGTACTAACTATTCCGGAACCAATACATTCAATATGGAAATAAGACTGCAATAACAAATGCTAGGAAGACAAGAGTAGTATGACAATTAGGATGAATAATTCTTTTCCACAGCACAAAGGGGAACATCTGGAATTCTTTTGCACTGCATTTATATATCTTCTGTTTCTCAATATAAAAATACATCTAGAGAGTCAATCCAGAACTGCATACAGCAATCATGTTTTCCCCCATAAGTGCTTTAGAATTAGTACAAAATAATGTAAATTACAGGAATGATTGTTGCAAATTTGTAAATGTTGGCTATTACAACATCCATTATGTAAGAACACTAACTGTAAATTATTTACAGGAGAGGTAATACAACTTCCAGAGTAGTGAATTCAGAAGTGTAAAAACAATGTACTTACCAAAAACATTACAAAATCTGGTATCATTATCAGCTACACAGTAGATTATGATTACATTTTGTAGTTGACATAACAACATATTCTTAAGAAAAGTGCCAAAATACTGCTACATAAGAATCTTCTATTTTTTAAAAAATCAGTTAGCAAAACCCCTGGCAGATTCTATGCTAAGTAATGTCAAAAGAAAGCAAGAAAAAAAGGATGCTGATTGTTCAACTTTGTCTTATTAAATGCCTTAGAAAGTGAATTTACAGATTTTTCATATTTAAAAGTCTGACACAAGACTTACTATAAAAGTCTAGAGAAATATCACCATATATGCTTTTCCAGGGCATTTTAGGCCATTCTAAACCTACACATTGCTCCAAAAGTGTGGAACACAAGGAGACTGAAGACATTCTGAAACTGGCTGAACTGTTGAGGATTGTTGTGATCAGTGGCCAAGTGTCCTGCCAGATGCCAGTCACCTCCAGTGCATCCAGGGCCCCTGCTGGGGTCCACACTCCTGCATGTTTTTAATTTCAACCCAGGGACTGGGACAGATCACACTCAGCAAACCATTCAAAGGGACTCAGCAGGCTGGAGAAATGGGCAAACAAGAGTCACAAAGTTCAGCAAAGAGAAGTGCAAAGTCCTACACAGGGGGAATAACCCTGTCCACCAGCATAGACTGAGGACTGAGCAGCCACAGAGCAGCCTTGCAGAGAACAGCATCAAGCCTTGAGCCACCACAGGCCCCTGCAGCAAAGAAACTCAGCAGTCCTCTGGTTTGCAGGGAAGGAGCACTGCCAGCAAGCTGAGGAAGGGGACTCTTCACTCTGCTCAGGCCTCCCGAGCCACAACTCAAGCGCTGGGTCCAGTTTTGGGCTCCCCAGTCCAACACAGAAATGGGCACACAAGAGTGAATCCAGTTAAGGGCCACAAAGGTGTCTGAGTGACTGGACTATCTTACAGACAAGGAGAACTTGGGAGAACTGGGATTGTCTCTCTTGCCTGGAGAAGAGAAGGCTCAGGTAATCTCACCAGCCTGTGTCAATGCCTGAGAGGAAGGAGTGAAGGAAGAGAGGAAGAGCTCAACTCTTCCCAGTATATCTAGTGATGCACAAGAGGGAGGATACAAGTGGAAATAACAGAAGCTCTACTTAAACATGGATCTTCATAGTGTAAGGGAGAGCAAAACACTGGAACAGACTGCCCAGACAAGTTCTGGAGTTTCCATCCTTAAGAGATGCCTAATAACCCAGCTTGTCACACACCTGAGCAACCTGCTCTAGCTGGCCCTCCTCTGAGCTGGACAATGGGGCATAGACTAGATCTAGTCCCTCCAACCTCAACTGTTCCATGATTCTATGGAAAGGACAGGGTCTTATGACAGGCACTGGATCAACTGAGTCACAAAGAAACTACAAAATGCAAAAGGAATATATATTTTCTCTTTAAGTTATTGCATACAGTGTTAATTTTGCTGCCTTCGTTTTGCTGATCTCATCTTTTCAAACCTCGACTCCATTTCTTCCAGGACTTTTGGTGTGTATCGCACAACTAGTTTAACCTTCCCTTGAGCTGCCTTCAGCAGTTCTACTGCTTTCTCGTGGTGCTCACCTTCCACACTCTGTGAAGTACAAACCAGCATTAGTAGAGACAAACTGAAACCTGATTTTTACATTTTTTGTGCAACTCTATATATGCAATTATATTAACGTATTTATTTATATGTACTCTATTTTCAAGACTGCCTAGGGACAATTAATGCAATTTCAGGACTTATGTTTAAACAAACCAAATGAGGCAATAGTAAAAATGCTAATTAGTATTAGCAAAAGAATAGTGCAAAAATATTAAGATTTATGCTGAGCAATTAAATTCTGCAATGACAACCTTAGTCACTTATGAAATTACACTTAAAAATCAAAAGCTTCAGGAGAATACTTACTTAAATTTTTTTTCCTTTCACATGTATTTTAAATTTAGCAGTCACCCTCAATTTGCTCATTAAACTGGCACAGACAATTGCAAGATACCTGCCTTCTTGATGTTACCTTGCATCACAACAAGGCAGAAATGGTGCATGCTGGGTGCATGCAATGGAGCATCTAACATGTAGTGTGTTGCTTATCTTAGTGCTCCAGAATCTCTCAGCAAACCCAAAACATTCCAGTTCATTTCCTCTAAACTGATTATCAATACCCTAACCCAACTCAGGAAGACCACAATAAAAATTATTTCCTAAACCAAATCTCAGAATTTCTTAGAATTATATTAGATTCATCTCGCTACAATTTTTAAGCAACAGTTCTCAAAAATTGCATCCAATACATTCCTGCAGAGCATGTATTTTATCAGCAGAACTCCCTTCTCCCAAACGTATGAAACACAGTGACAGGACCACTCCAAGCCTAGGTCCCACCAGTGCTATTAGAAGCTAGAAGGCAGGTGATGTACCTGTTGATTGGAGGGCTTCCCTGTTACTGTAAAGTTACTTACAGAAAGAAATACAACAGTTAAAAAAACCCAAGTTATTTCTCTTCTACCAGACTTAGACAACATATACATTTGGATGCTTTCATTTTTGTTATTCAGGTGGATGTGCAGGCTGTTCTGTTTAAAACTGGTAATAAAAGGTTTGTGGAGTCCAGTTTAATTGTATGAAAACACCTAAATTCTGGAGTACACTTAAGATCTCCCACCTGAAAAAAACTTGGTTTTCAGTCATATTCGCTGCAGTCTTGGCAGCTGCATTTTCTATTATTATTATTGAAATATAAATTACAACCACAAGAAGATGCCAGTTATGTATTATAACAGGATTCCATCTGTAAATATCAGATGACAATGATTTTTCTAACTACATTAGCATCCCTAACAGCAATTTATGCACTCACTACGTTCTTACAAGAGCTACATATATTTATACATGTGCATGCTAGCTGCATCAACTGCCTGATGATCAGGTTCAGTTCTGGGTGGAGTGGTGGTTGTGTTGTCTTTAGGAGAGTCTGTGGATGAGGAAGGACTCGTATGAGGACAGTTTTGCACCAGTCCCTCAACGTTCCCTAAAAACAGAAGGCAAAGGCAAGGACAGTTGCATCACTACAGTTATGATTTCTCTTAAGCCTCTTGAAGAGGACAGCTGGACTCCCAGGTAACAGCCAGGAGCCAAGTATGTCAGATTTGTGCTAGCCAGGAGCTCCTAGAGGACAGACACCCAAGATCTGTACCCAGTCACTATTCCTTTCAAGAGCCAAAAACCCCAGAATCTAGTTTGATCCTCAATCTTAAGATTAATATTTTATTACCTCTGTAAACCAAATTTTATTTTAAGCCTGCATAGAGCCTCTCTGTAAATAAAAGCAAGTGTTTGGGAGATATTTACATGCATTCAACTGAAAGCTGTCTCAAGCCAAAGCCTATAACCTCTTCTTTCCAGCCTCCCTTTGTTTTACTTTTTGTATTATTAATTTTTCAGAAGAGGATACTTACTAAAAAACAAATCCAAATCAGCACTTTAGACACATAATTCTTAAAATACAGTAAAAAGCTTGCTTCTGAAGTTCAGTATAGTTAAATGGAAGGAAAAAAAATACCATACAAGGCAACACCACCTTGTAGCTCCACCTCATTACAGCTTTCACCATGCAGTAGCATTTTTACTATGGGAAAAATGAGAATCTGGTCAGCCAAAAGCAACATAGCATAATTTACTACCTACCTTAGAATGTGAAGAAAACTATTAGTAAAAATCTGCATCATGAAAATTTGATGAAAAGGGAAGGCAGTTTATATTTTACTAAATATATTTGACTACATTTATATAACCCCTCAGAATCTGAAATACCCATATAGATAGTACAGTTCCTTTTTGAGACAGATAACCAAAGCATAATCCTAAAGAAACCAAAGCAAATTTGTTTTGGGAGGACAAAAAGAGTTTTGCCAAGATTAGAAGACACAAGGAGCTTGTGCCATGTGTTCTCTGTACCCCCTCAAATGGAAACAAGCAGTCACTGCTATATGAGGAAGAGAAAAGCAGCTCCTACCACTCCATTCACAGAAAGCAGCTGGTCTCCACGTTTGAGGCCTCCATGTCTGTCAGCTATACCTCCAGGGATAATCCGAGAGATATAAATTGGAGAATTTTGTTCTTTGCCTCCCATAATGTTGAAGCCAAGACCTTCTTCTGTTTTGGGTAGTTCAACCACTCTGGGATGAGAATGACCTTCGCTAGCAGCAAATGCAGCTACTGTGGCCTGTGAGAAACAAGACTTTCTCATTAATAGGAAATTAAACACAGTCCTTTTAGCTAGACACAGTGAGCACACTGAAAATGTATTTCACCTCAAAGTATTTGCCATGTTAAGACAAATGAGAACAATTAATTCCCTACATACCAACGGTAGCATGAAAAATTCAGAACTTCAAGAATAAAACTGAAATGAAAGAAATTTAAAAACCATGAGTCTTGTTTATACCTTTCAATCTGTTAAGCTTATCCATTTTATCAGATATCTAGATAATATCCTTCTGAATTTTATATAATCTTCTGCGTCTGAAGTAATGAACTACTGTATATTTTGCAAGTTATAGTTTGGCTTTTACCTTTGCTGTTGCATTAGCTCTAACTTCGGGGCTACTGCTGATATCCACAGTTTCATAGACATGTTCATACACCTTTAGAGAAAAAACAGTTTCAGTATGAATAGAACTGATATCCTTCTGCTTCGGAAATGTAACAAAATACCAGGTGGAACTCAAAACTGTGTAAATTAAAAGTACACACCTCCCTGACTCACAAGAAGAACAGGCCATCTAACATTCTATGAAGAAACAACTCTCACTATTTTTATTGCTCAGTCTCAGCCTAAGGCTCCTCTCCTTGCACAGTACTCAGATCTCATGAGGACTTTGGGAATGCTGATGGCTAGACTGGCCTGCCTGACTTGAGGTATTTTCTCTTGCTTGATTCCAGCTGGAATTCTTCAACACTGATGCATACAGAAACACTTCAGGGCACCTCTTCAAGGCTTTGCTGACAACCCCTCCCTCCCCACAAGCTCTCAAATTTTCCTTCAATATTAGCAACTAACTGACTATTTTAAGGAAAAAAAGGATTGCAAACACAGAGACAATAAGAATACTAATGCTCAGGAGCTGCTTGCACTGCAGGCTAACCCACATCTTCTCATCTCCCTGCCAGCCATTTGTACTTGCTAAGCAACAAGTACAGTGTCCTCAAAGGCATGATAGATGACATCTGTATCTACAAACAGTTTTTAAAAAAAAAAAACATTCCAGCTGCTATCATTGTATTAACATAAGCAACAGCAATAGCAAGGCACATTCAATCACCTAAAAATCTCCAAAACACTTGATGGAAGATAAGGTGGCACAAGACTCCACCTAAAGATAGCATGGATTTAGCTTAAAAATAAATTTGATACTTTGTCTCTTCCTACATACCAACTGGATAACATCATGTTAGCTGCCAGTAAGGATAGACTCTCAAAATAACCTTTAAGAAGTGATTTGCTACTAAGCCATTATTTTATGTGTATAAAATATGGTGTCCCAAATTATTTAATTTTGAAATGACTTAATAATAAGGCTTGTTCTGTTAAGATCTGTAAATTAAATATGCTTTATGAAGTTCAAAATCAGCTTACTGCAATGAGCACGAAAAGGAAAAAGTAAATCATACTGGTCTTTAACTGAAGGTAACTGCTTACCCCAGGTTAACTTACCTCTCTTACAGCATTACAGAATTCACTTTGCAGAACCCTTTGCAATGCCTGTAGCTTTTGTGGTGGCACTTCTCCACTTCTCTGTAATTTTTCCAGCAATTCAATTGCTCTGCAGATGTCTATGAAAAAAAAAAAAAATAAAGCACTAGTAATGAGGAATGCCTGAGGAATCTCAAGGTATATTTGATTTTTTTTTTAAATTAATTAATCAGTCTGTGTGTGTGCACTTGCATACACTTTAAAACTATGCTTTAAGTTCTGTTACCCACAAAACTATGCCTTTACAAAATGCTCCAATAAACCACTGTACTTCCAGCTTGTTATAAATCAGCCACAACAACAACCCTGTAATATATCTGGACATATCCCTGACATACGCATATTGCAAAGACAATCCAATTTTTCCTCAAAGGACTGAAATATTGCTATGTGTATTAAAGTAGTGGTAGTGTACCCTTCATAATACTCTATGGAGGATATTTTGTTAACACCAGCTATAATATTATAAAATATGCTGTCTAACATGCCTTTTATATTCAAAAATATGTTAAATAAGGTAGACTCAATACTTCCCATAGAAGAGGGCTGAAAACTATCTGGCCTATTTCTCTTCCCTCCTCAAGTGCTTATAAAACCAACCGAACTCCTTCTGATATTCTCAGCTGAGAGACAACATCTCCATAGTCTAGAATCCTGAACCCCAAACCTCTTTCAGTTTCTTGAAATTTGTTCCTAGGAGTTCACGTTGTCCATTTTGTCATAAATGCTGTTCTGTGTAATGAACTCCATGAAGGATTTGACTCCAGACCAGAATGATTCAAGACAAGCACCAAATGCAATGTGAGGTTCTCTTGGCAGCGCCAGGAGAGCAGGAATACATTCACATTCCTCACTTGTACTTCCAAACTGTTACAGTCATGATTATTCTGAAACACAGTTCTTGAGCAGAACTAGAACAGTCTCTTAGAAAAGCAGATAGAAAGGATGACTTTCATTATCACAAGAACAAAAAAAGCAGTGATTAATCTAATATATAAAATTATGCAGAGAACATTTTAGAACAGGATGAAGTCTGGAACACTGCTGGTCCCAAAGGCATTACTTCCTTTTTTCTGCAATTAACCTCTGGGTAATTAACCTCATTTTTCGTGTGAATGCACAGAATGACACCACCTACTCAGTGGTATCACGGCAGCACAGAGGATGTGCAATAGCCATGAACTTCTAAAACACGAGTGCAAAAAGAGAGCCCTTGTGTAACTGGATGAGAAGGTAGCAGGGTGCATGATCTGAAATGAGGCTGAAGTGCACTGGCAGGACACAGTCAGGGCAATGGTCGGTCCCTTCACAGGAATTATCACCCTACAAGCCACTAGATCGAGACCTGCTCATGCAGTTGATGGAACAAGATATACCTTAACCACACAGACTGGTCACCCGTGGACTGGAAACAAAGCCTTCATGGGAAAACACTCAAGTAGCAAAGCCCCAAGACTCAAATTATTTCTGATGATAGTTCACATTTCCATGTGCCATGAGAACTTGGTGTTTTCTGGCAAGCATTTCCAAGCTTTACAAGCATCAGCTATATCCAGCAATGCAAAACCAAAAGCTAAATTATCTACTAATAATCCCATGTTCTACAGTGAATGCATTTTTCACAGTTACTATTTGTATAAATGCAAAATGAAAAAAAAACACCCACACTTAAAGCTTATTTCCCAATACATATCTTGAATTTAATTCAAAATCCACAATAGTTGGTGAAATTAAAGACATTCTAGATGATGTAAAATCCCCAGTGTTCTTAGTAACCCCTGTGTTCAACAACAGCAGTACTGATTAATGTAGCACTTAATTCATGAAGTAGCCCACTGATCAACGTGAAGAGCTATGATCAAATGGCAGTGGCAGCAATTCCAATCTGACAACACTCCACAATTTAATGACAAACATCTGGCAAATCTATAAACTACAACACCACTATCATTTCAATACTTGCAGATGTTTTGAGACAAATGATTAGCACATGAACATAGACTACAACTCCACATAGCCATTCTTGAGCCTATGGTCTATGAACCACGTTAAGATGTACAAACTTGTGATCAGATTGATTAGGATTCTGCAAAAAATTTCAAATGGTGACAACAATGTATTGATACAAGGAGTAGCTGTAGAAATGAAGGCATCAGAATTCCATGTGATAATTTCTTTTTTTCACCTTTTATGTTTTGTCATTAAATTAGACATGCTTCATACCCATAGCTCTTAAAAGACAAAACATTTAATGACACAGCACTCCTTACCCAAAGGTAAAATCAGTTTGGGAATCAGCTATGTCTTTCATTAACTACAGACTAAGAACACAGAATCAGCTTTTCAAAAAGTGATTATGATACACTGAACTGGATTCATATTAGCTCAAACTAAAGCAGAGGACACACTTTAATAAAAAAGTGTTTTCAGATCAAAGGACCAAACTATTGCTAAAAAGTAAAAACTCAGAGTAGTCAAACAGCATGACAGCTAGATCCTCAGTACTCAATACATCTGGCATCACACCACGCTTCTTACTCAGGTAGATCGAGACAATACATGCCATCAGCAGGACCCTGTTCCCAGCAGTTGTTTTGCTGCATGTTATTGAGAGGGTCCCATTACACCACAGTGGAAGTGCAACTGAGCACAATTTTCATCTACTGAACTGCACTGAGTATCACAAGCCAAAAGCTGAATATTCAACCTTCCCCAGCAATATTGCTTTAGGAAAAAGAGTTTTGCTGGGAATAAGGGGCAAAACACACCTTCTTTCATTTTTCAAGAAAAGCTTGTTGACTACTGTGTTGAGGTAATTTGCTTCCTCCTGAATTACTAGCTGGAATATGATCAGCTTTCAGCTGTCTTCCTCACAATATAAACACCATAGCTTAGCCAACTGTTCAGTGCCAGAGATCAAAATGAACAGTACAGAAGTGTTCCAGTGATGGATTTCAACAAGGATCCATGTAGATGTAACCCCAGAGGTGGACAATTAAAAAACCCAAACCACAAAACTAACAGTAAAAAATAATCCATACATAATCAAAAATTTGCTTTTCTTTTCATCTTTTCTTCCTTTTTATACCAAATTGCCTGATCTTCACAAATCATTTTTTGGGATCACTAGATTGAAATTCTGAAAAAAAAGAAGCATCTAAACTAAAAGAATGTGGAAGCACAAAAGCCAGCAAGGTGGCATGTGTGACCAAAACACAGAAAGAGAAAAAACGCAGCACTCTCACAGGTTAACCTTCTGATTAACCATCTCTACTGTTTATGTGCAACCAATCTAGATTCCTGAGCTATATGTAGAGTTAGCACAGGTCACCACTAAACTGTAAGAAGAACTGAAATGTTAACTGTGGTTTCATTCCTGCCCTCTGGTGACTGTGGGTGGTGGTGTTTGCAAAGCAGCTCGGAGGAGAAAAGACAAGAATTTTCCATTGCCCCGGTGGCAAGCACAAGATAACGATTTAAAATCGGCTCTCTCCACACTATTCCCTTTTCTTATGCTATATGCCAAAAACATTAGTGAGCTCACTTTCAAGCTAATTATGACTCATCAGCAGGTTATGTGCAGTCAACCCCACACAATTAACAGTTACTTATTTCGGTAAATAAGGCTCTTGCTTCTGTAAGTCCATTAGAAGGTGCTGTCCTTTTCTTCCTTCTTTAAAAAGACCAACAGCTCCTTTGTCCCACTTATCCTTAAGTAACTCTGCAGATTTGTTTGTTTTCACGGACAGAGCACGGTGGCAGGGTAATGAGGTGAAGGATGGGACCTGAGCCTTAAATCTGCAGATGTCCAAGCACAACTAATCCACTGCTGAAGCAGCTGCCCTAATTAACAAGCTCTGGAGTAGAGAGAGTAGATGAGCTGTGAAGCAAAGACCTTACATAACTCACTACTTACAGGCCAACTCACACGTTACAAGGGGTTCCCTGGTGGAACAGGAAGCAGGGCTACCAAAAAAAGAAAAACTGAGCTCTTCAGCAGGTAACACGGTAGTACCAGAAAAAGAAAGTGGGTGTGTACAGTGTGTTATACACCTACAAAAATACATCTAGCACCAAGAGCAAAAGAGGTGGTACTAGTGGGAATGGTAAGGGGATCACATCTACTTCTGTTTTCCTTTTCAAAAGCATTATTTCTATTAACAGTAATCATTTCCCATGTAAATTTCATTTTTCAGTCCCCACTGTCCTAAATCCATACCAACAAATCAATCATCGATACTTTTATAAAAGCATCTGTCGACCTTACACAGTACCAGATTGAAGGAAATTTATAATTATTTCTTAAAATCCGTGGATAAATCTCACAAACATACCACACAAAAATACCCAGCTAGGTTCTATGCTGTATCTGTTTTGCTCTTCATTTCAGTTACATGCTGCATGCATTAACAATACAAATTAAGACTACATACTAGAAAAATGGGGTGAAAACATAAATATGAGAGGGTAATAGAAGACAATCATGAACAAGTGCAGCGGGATCCCTGCATGTGTCAGCCGTCTTCTATAAAAGTAACTATACCTAACACACAGCTAACCGACCGAACTCTGAACTCTAAGAATTCTGCCGTTCGAGACGAAGTTCTCCCACGCGAGAAACAGAAACCGAGAGACGGCAGGCTGAGTAAGAGCATACTGAAGCGTTCACAGCAGTGAAGGCAGACACAGCTACAGAAGGCCTTAGGTGAGTGCCCCCAACTGAGCTACAAACCGAAACGCGACAAAAACCTCCGGGGGCTGCAGAGAGCAAAGCCCAACACGTTGGCCCCACCGAAGCGCTTCCCAGAGCCAGAAGCGATGGAACCCTGCTCAAATCACATCAGCTGTTCGAATCAACCGCGGCTGCGCCCGGCGGAGAGCAGCGGCTTAGCTCCTGCGGCAGGACGGGAGGGCAGGACGGCAAGGGCGGCACGGCCAGTGCTGTCGCCGCCCGGGGCTCCTCCGCCACCGCCCGCCCCCGGCAGAGAGCGGAGAAGCGGCCGTGCGGGCCGCGGCCGCCCTCACCTCTCTCCAGCCGCACCGGCTCGCCCAGCGCCGCCATCTCGTCCTGCCCGGCCCGGCGGAAGTGACGCGGCGCCGCCGGAAATGCGAGGCCGCGCGCGGCCGAGGGGCCGGGCCCGCAGGGAGCGCGGGCCGCGGGTCCCCGGGGCCGACAGGGCCTGACCGCCCGCCAGGGCACCTGGGCGTTATTGCTCTAGACTGTGCGACGCCCAGATCCTGCTGATAATTTCAGCAGAAAATGTCCTCTCCGTTTTCGTCCACATCCTTTAGCGTGACTGAGGACTATTAATACAACACCTGCGAGGGCAGGTCTTCCCGTGCACCCGGAGTACCCCCGGAGACGGGACATATACTTACGTTAGCTGTGTAAATAATGTTAAATATATGTACATATACATACTCATACAGAGAGAAATGTCTGCCTGGGCTTCAGCAAGGTTTTTGACACTGTGCAAAAAAAAACTGTCCACAAATGAGACAGAAGAGTTCTGCAACTCCATTCAAATAGTGAACCCTATAGGTCCGTGATACAATATTGTATTCTATAATAAATATTATATATATAAACAATACAAAATTATATAATAACATGGAGCAAACAGTATATATCTTATGCATAATAGGTATACTTTAATATCTATAAATATATACACATATAAATACTGTTCTGCCTGTGTGAAATGGGAGATATGCTTTATATTTCCTGTTCAGCACCAGTTTAATCTTTGTGGGGCTAATATATTGAATTTATCATCTGCATTAAATCACTGCAAGTACAAGCATGACACATGTGAGTTTCTTCTGGAAAAGAGTAGGGGAATGCTTCAGAACATGTATTTATATGCTCTTAATTTATTCTGAGGGTATAACTCTTCCCATCTGGCTTTGATTTTGTCTGCATTTTGTATTTTTTGCTTTGAAAGAGAATAGCTCTCAACAGGTCTCAAAGTGTCCACCAATGTGGCAGTGATGTACTCACTTCTCTCTGTGATTTATTTTCATGCCAGTTTCTCTCAGTCTGAGGGCTGCTGCACATGCATTTCAATGAAAAGGTCATATAAATAGAATTCTGCAGGTGAACAAAATTAAATCCTCACAGACTAGTTTCCGGCAAGAAAAAGTGTTTTAGCAACCAGAATTGTAAAATGCTTCTGGAATAAAATCCAGATGTTTCTATCAGTGGTGCAAGAATGACCATTTCTGTTAGAAATTTTAAATAACCTGCTCAGACTTTGGACAGATTAGCTTATGGAGAAAAATGAGTGTTCAGCAGTATTTCATCAATCCCAAGACTTTTCCAAAGGACATATGTAAGAATACATGTTTAAACATACCGCTAAACTGTCATTATTCTGACTTCAGTAAAGACTAAAGATTCAGAGGTTAAAGCAGCTGCTTTAAACTTCCTGTAGACCCAGTGACTTGGACAATGACATTACAAGAATAAGAAAGTCCAAAAAGCAACTTTTAAGTAGTGCTGCCACTGTCTACTTGATAGCACTCTCCAACTTAAACCCTATCACTCAAGCAATTTGCACTGGTTTATACCTGCAGAAAAAAAACCCCACAGCAAAACAAAAACAAAAAAACCAAGCCAGAACAAAGTTTCGGTTTTTAGGTTTTCATCTGTGAAGACTGATAATGTATAAGTTAGCAGGAGACAGTATTCAAATTCTAGTTGAAGAAGTGGAATGCCTGTTCAGGACCACAGTGGAGGGAAGAAGAATAGGGCTACAGATTATACAGGAACAAAAAAAAAAAAAAAAAGCCACACATACCCACTTGCTTTTTCCTTTCTGAAGTAACATTTTAGCACACTGCTGCCTTTTTGCAGCACTGCCTGATTTTTGCAGTGGTGTCTGAAGTTGCAAAGGTAGGCATTGCTATAACAGAAGTATTTTAGTGTGGTTTTTAATCTTCAAACAAAAAAAATGTATTTAAAGAAATAGCCACTGTGGAAGTTCCAAGTCTGTCTCAATGCACTGGAAGACAGTGAACTGCTGAGTCTATAGAATTTTTCTCAAGAAAAATTCAATCCATAAATGAATGCAGACAGATAAAAGTATTAAACAGGACAAACTCTTTGTGCCATTTTAGTCAGGAAAACCAGATCCCAAACCTGGCACTCCAGACGGAGCCTGATGTGTTTAGAAGTGAATGCAAAGAAGCAGACTTGGCTGAAAAACTGATATCCATTTTAAATTAAAAAAACCCTCAGTGCTTATTTTCACTTGCATTAAGATAAAACCAGGATTAAAATTTTGAATGATAAACTAGAATGAGAGAAAGACTGCAGAATATCTAGAAATTTTGTAGCTAGGAAGCTTTAGGAGATGTTATACAAAGCAGGGAGTCAAATCCAAAGATGTCACATCTGAGGTCAGGTTACAGGGCTAGTGCATTTTCTAACATTTTTCTATCATCCATTGGCTTTTTGCCCCTACTCCTTTAAATGCTTGCTTTTGTTTCAGCCCAGATCAAAACCAACTACAAAAACCACAGGTTTCCTTCTTCATTGTTACAGTAAAAACAGTAATCTGCAGTCTTTGCGTGAATGTAAATTGACATGTGAATGCAAAATTAAACAGTTCCATTCAAAGAAAGAGGCAAGTATATAATCAGTCACAGAAATCATAAAACTATCTGTAGCCCCCACTTACTTCTAATTCCAAATTATCATCCTAAAATACCTATTTCGAGGTGAATAAAGTGATCATGAGGCTATGCCTATTCTGGAACTGCTCCAGCATTTCCCATCTCTTTCATACCTCTTATTTTAACCAGGTATTCCTGCTTGGACGCACCAACTTACTGGTAAACATATTTCTAAGAAGCCTACTCCGAATTTGGCCAATAGCACACTTTTTATTTTCATTCATTTCATTCTTTTTTCAATAAATTTGTGCAACAGCTTCACAGGAAGTTCCCTTAGCACAACTAAATTACTGCATACCTTTAGCCTTTAATGTTTCCTGATGAGGATATCTGAGGCCACACTCTGTTCATGCTGGAATATGTTAGCATTTCTGGAAGTGAATATAAAAAAATAAAATATGTAGCTGAAGAGGTGCTAAAGATTTTGTTTAAATACTTGAGCTGAAATACAGCAACTAAGTATCCATTAACAGGTTTAGAAAATACAAATAAAAATTTCCACATTGGTGGCCACCAGACTATATTAATTTTGCTAAATAAAAGACGTATCTTTATTTTAAAAAGTCCAGCTAAAAAAAAATTAAAAATCAGGATTTGTTGTAATAAGCAGCTGCACTTCTAGCTCTGCTTTAAAACGAAGTTTTCTAGTCTTTTCCTGTTGCCTGCCCCAGGTGAGTAACAAGATCCTGGTGAGATAATTAGGCAGATTGGCTCTGAGGTTCTTACCCTGCCTTGGCCAGAGCAGGGCTGTGGCAACAGATGCCTGTGCCTGCATGTGTCAGGCACGGGCTGCTGCTTGCTTCCTAATGGTTCCTTGATATGGCATCCCTAAAGAGGCTGTAATCCTTGTTTGCTTTGTTCTGCATTGCTTAATATCCAGTGACTCAGCAGCATTCCCTGCCACCCACTGGCATATCTTCCCTGTTATTTTATACATTGTGAAACAGCCACTGATTTCATTTCGCGGGTGAGAAATGAGCCTGCCACACAATTCCCCAGCATATTATGTGGGATCTTATCAGGGAACTTCACAGCCCCAGGAAAAGTTTAGCTGGCATGTCAGTAAAGGCTGTGTTTTGTGGAAAAGAAAATTTTAAAGTGTTTATCCTAGTGATCATACAGAGCAAAGGAACTCAAGGAAATGGCAGGGAAAGCACCAAGGGATACTTACCCTGTGTGTGATGAGCAGATGCTCCAGAAAAGACACTGAACAAGCTGTGGAGCAGCACTGCCACAGCCTGGAAGCTTCTCCAGGAACAGGCAGTCAAGGCAGCTGCAGGTGTATCCCTGCTCCTTGGGATAGAGACCCAGCTGATCCACCTTCAGCACTGAAGACTTCAGAAGGCTCATAAGGCTCTTTTTGCTTTGCTCCATGAGATTTGCTTTGCTTTTGAAGACTGGTATATTCAGCTGTGTAACCCTCTCCTGTTGTCTTGAAATAAATTAAAACATGTTAAGAATGACCTCTCTTACCAACACCTCTGCATGGATGTAGCTCTCTAATCTAGCCATTAGGACTTTCCCCTGGGAGAAGCTAGTCTTGATAGCTTGCTAGTTTGAGTTAAATGGCTTACGTGGTAAGTGGCATTTTGTTCTCATTACACTAAGAAAAGTCAATCAATATAAAGCCCATCAACGCATTAATATAAAAGCAGAAACCAAAGAAAACTGATATTAAATAGAAATCCAGGATCCATTCTATTGAACATTACAACTCAGTTTCCTGAACTAGAGTTGACAATCCACCAGTAAGTGTCCAGCAGGGAGTAGCTTTGCTGTGATTATACTGACTAGATGATTTAATAGGTCTTTTTCCACTCTAATACCTATGACCATATGAAAATCAATGGCAGCTCACTTAGTGGAAGTACCTTCCCTCTCTTGCTCCAGATGCATGGTTTGAGCTACCTGTGCAGAACAATGCTAACAGAGATGCCAGCTGCATGTCAGCTCCAGGGGGAAAGCCTCATGCAGAAATTCCAGGCCAAAACCCAAAGGATTTCCTCTGAACTCTGAAAAACACCACCTCCTTTCCTTTGTAGGAACTTCAGGCAGAACCTGGCCCCAGGAGAGGAGAGAGTGCCAGCTGTCTGCCACAGAGCAAGGTGGGCACCAGCTGGCAGGAGAGAGATCTCTGCCCTGCACCTGTCCCCTTTTGGGACACAGGTCCCTGGCCATTGGTGGGAGGGGATGGGACAGACACTGAGGTGTCCCCTGCAGGCTTCTCCTCCGTTTCACAGCCCTGAGAACACCTACCTGAGCAATGTGCCACACAGCCCAGCCACATGCACTTACCCAGATGAATTCTGCTGACCACCCTGTCCCACAGGCCACTGTGCCTGAGGAGTGGGAGCAGCTGCCCCCTCTGTATCACCAAGGTTTCAGTGTACTTTTCACTTCTGAGCTGTAATTTCATTCC